AATGGGAAGGTAGTTTTAGGACAGAGAAAATGGAGAAGTGGGAAAAAAGTTTAAGGACGCAGGGAGTAGTTGATTTCCAATTTTACCCCTGATGTGATGAATAGATTATTAGAGAAAAAGTATGATGTAATTTGTAGGGTATGAAAAAATAAGAGTAAAAGTGGTTTATTTTAGAGAGAGGAAGTGTTTTGTTGGAAGTTGAAAAAATGAAAGAGAAAGTATTTTTGAGAACGGAGGGAGTAATTTTTTTATATGTAAATTTTATTTTTTATTTTTATATCAATATGTAAATAAAATAAATTGATAAAACTTGATATTTTATATCAGAAATACAAGTGTGACAAATATATAAGGACGAAAGAAGTTAATAAGTACCCACCCTTTTCTTCATCTTCTTCAAGACCCCTACTCTGGCCCTCCATTTTTTCTTCCCTTACTCTTCCAGCCCCACCTGCACCCCATGGTCCCATATATCCCTCGTAAAATATTAGCGAGGTGTAATGATTCTAATAAGTATACAAATTCTTATTATAATTTTATAATTTGGTATATAAATTTTAATTCTTATCAGAAAAGTACACGATATTTCAACATTCACTACAAAAAACTGCTGAAATGGCGACGGAATTATTCCGTCGCCAAACCCTTATTTCCGTAGGTAATCTCCATAACGACGGAAATAACGACGGAATATGTTCCGTCGTTAATTTTTCGTTAGTAGTAAATGTAACGACGGAAATAACAACGGATTTTTCGTTCGTTAAGAATATTCTTTTACTAGTGGTTCAATAGGTGGTTTCTAAATCACATTTAAGTCATTTGGGGTCAAATTATAATTTTATAAATTTTAATTTTATGATTTTAAGCCTTTTTCTTTTTTTCTCTCAGTTCTCCACCCTTTTCTTCATCTTCTTCAAAACCCCGACCCTCCCCCTCCATTTTTCTTCTCTTCCTCCTCCAGCCCCACCCGCACCCCATGGTCCCATATACCCCCTCCTAGAATATCCCAACTCTCCTCCATGGTCCCATACATATACTCCCTCAGTCGTCCTTCCTAGAATAATCCCCACCCTCATAAAGTGTAATGATTCATTCCAATTACTCCCTACTATGTATGACCTATCCTACGCTCCCTCCTAAAATATCCCTACTCCTACCCCCTTATATATGGTCCCATACTTACACTCCATCAGTCCCTCCTAGTAAAATATCCCCACTCTCGATCATAAGTCATAAGTGTAATGATGTCCATCCTAAAACAATGATTATACTCTCCCGTCCCAAAATATTCACAACATTTACTTTTTCAGCAGTCGCAGGAATTTTTGTTTATTTTGACATTTTTATTGGTTATTTGATAAAATAAAATATTTTTGACACCTCTTATTTCGAAGAACTTTCATGTAGTCTTTTGATATATAAATTTTATCTTTATTTCTATACCAATATGTAAATAAAATGAATTTAAAAAACTTGATATTTTGCCTCAAAAATACAAATGTGGCAAATAATTTGGGACGTAGGGAGTAATTATGACCTATCCTAAGCTAGCATCTATCCTATTACTCCCTCCCTCTCAAATTATTTACCACATTTATATTCCCGATGCAAAATATCAAGTTTTTTCAATTCATTTTATTTATATATTGGTATAGAAATAAAAAATAAAATATACATATAAAAAAACTACATGAAACATTTTTCGAAATAAAAGGTGTCAATAATATTTTATTTTATCAAATAACCAATAAAAACATCGAAATAAACAAAAGTTCTCGCGACTGCAGAAAAAGCATATATTGTGAAGCTAGGTGTAATAATGAGCCGCCAAGTACCCCCATTTGAAAAATAATTTCTTATTTTTATTCAAGACTGAAGTCGTATTATGTAGAAAATTGAAGGTTGATCACTTTTGACAAAACATAAATTACGTTTATTAAATATTTTATTAAAAAGATATTCTTTTAATTAATTTTAAACAACTTGAAAAGTTTACTTTCTAATTTTTAAATTATATTTATCATTCATTTATTATTTGACTTTGGTGTATAAATTTTAATTCTTATCACAAAGCTACACGAATTTTTAATATTCTTTCACTGGTGGTCCAATAGGCGGTTTCTAAATCACCTTTATATCATTTTAGGTTAAATTATAATTTTATAAATTTAAATTTTATCATTTGACCTCTTTTTTTCTCTTGATTCTCCACTCTTTTCTTCATCTTCTTCAAAACCCTACCCTCCTCCATTTTTTCTTCTCTTCCTCTTCTAGCCCCACCTGCACCCCATGGTACCATTACTCCCTCCTAGAGCTTAGAGAATATCCCACACCCGCACGGGTAGCTCAAGTCTCTGGTGCGCACTAGGATATGGTCTAGCTAAGTATTGTACTTGGGTCATCACCGTGATTTACCTCCTCTCACATTCCCGTCAGGTCCGGAGTAAGGGGCGCCCGGGGTGAGCGATTTCACCTTTTGGAGAATTGGAGAATATCCCCACCTCATGGTACCATTATTCCCTACTAGAGGCTAGAGCTTAGAATATCTCCACCCCCATAAGTGTAATGATTCAACCTAATATCTCCACCCCACAAGTGTAATGATTCAACCTGTCATAAGCTATATTATAATAATAATAATAATAATAATAATAATAATAATAATAATAATAATAATTCAAAGATTCTAAAATTTTAAAGCATAAATTGTGATAATGGAAATGGATTATGCATGGATAAAAATTGTGCACTAGTACTACGTACCAAAACAATAAAAAAAATTAAAGGATTATTATCTCAATAAAAAATTCACATCAGTTTGTGTTACTACGTAAAAAATTATTCAACTACATTTATATTGTTTCAATTAAAATGAAAAACCATCAGACAAATAACACACTCATGCGTTTTCAAGCAAAAAGTAAATTTAAGACATCAGTGCAAAAAGACGGGGAAATTAAAAGAACAGACAAAATGGAGATATTTTTATTTGGTTTTGACTTATAAATACTTAGAAATTCACAAATTTGTGAAGTCTACAGCGTAAAAATTAAAATAATGCAAAAAAGAATTTTTAACGCATAATTGAATGAAGATGCAAAGATAATACGGAGTAATATAGAGTAATAAACATCAAAAGCTGAAATAAGTTTCTACTATCTACACAAGTACCCCCACTTTAAATATAATTTCTTATTTCTATTCAAGACTGAAGTCGTATTATGTAGAAAATTGAAGGTTGATCATTGTTGACAAAACATAAATTACGTTTATTAAATATTTTATTAAAAATATATTCTTTTAATTAATTATAAACAACGTGAAAAGTTTACTTTCTAATTTTTAAATTATATTTATCATTCATTTATTACATTCTTATCTTTCCATGTTCAATGAGTTTTTTCTCGAAAATGGACGGAACTTCATTCTCTTTCTCAATGAGTTTTTCTATATTTCTTTTATTTTACGGAGTATATCTTTTTTCAATTTTCTACTTTATTTAACAAAAATATAAAAATGTTTAACTTGAGACGACACACGTAGTACGGAATATAACTTATACGGAGTATGATTTATATGTTAACTTTTTCAGTTAGTTGTTTCCTCCAAACTAATTTGAATTTAGAAACACTATAAAGAACATTTTATAAACAAAAATAAAAAACGAATAAAACTTATGATAATGGTCTCTTGTATCTTTATGGTTTGAAAAATGTGCATCAATGCCCCTTCTCTAGAAAAAATAAAGAAAAAATAGTCCGATAAAATATTTGTGCAACCTTTGGAAAAAAGTAGGAGAGAGAAAAAAATTGTAAACTAAATGGGGACAAAGGGAGTATACGATAATGATGAATTGGGGGTATTAGAGACTTGTAGTACGACCTCCGTCCAAATGTATTTGTCGATTTTGATTTTTTTCGAGTCAAACGTGATAATTCTAAACTCCAATTACTCTCAGTTTGTATTGTATATACTCCGTATATATTAGCATAACAAAATATAATTTTGAAAGTTTCCAATATGACAAATTCAATAAAATCATTTTTATTTATTTAATTGGAATATATATTAGAGAAAGATGAATTGGGGTATTATAGACTTGTAATATAATAAAGCCAAAGGAGTAAAAATACTCCCTCGGTCCAAATTTATTTGCAACACTTCGAACGATGTGTAAAATATTGCCTCTTTCAAAATCACTTTAATTTCAAATTGGTAGAGTAATAAATAGTAAAAATTACACCATTCAAAAGTATGTAAAAATTTCTACAAAACAAGATACGAAAAGAATATTTTATTTTATGAAATGGTCAACTAAAATGAGTAAACAAACAAAAGTTATCAAGGAACCGGAATAGTAAACACCATATTCTTTCTCGAAAGGAAGGAGTAATAAATAGGGAGTATATTGGCAACCAAGCTAGCTCCTAAGTCCTAGTACAAGGAATCCTAGGGAGTAACTACGCGATCCGAGCTAGTTTAAC